TTAAAGTTGAATGTACCCTATGTTTGATTGGTAAGATGTATGAAATTGTATCACCATTTGTATGATTACTTTTCCTTTTAACATGTTAAAAAAAATCAATCAATTCAATCGAAATTTATATTAAAAATATTTGAAAAACTAAGTTTGTATTTGGTTTGTTGTTTATAGTTACCTTTAAGATTTGTTGTAGGTATGCCCAGGTTTGAACAGGTATGCCCAGGTTTGAACAGTGGTTCAATTTACCCCCTGACCTGGATCAACTTACCCCTACACTGGGGCAAGTTGAGCCACAAGCCTTTTTTTTTAAGAAGTAATATTTTCACTGCCCTTGATCAAATATTAATTATTATCATTGCCATTGATATGAGACATCCTGAATTATAGGTGTGTGTTTTCATTTTTACTATGTGTAATTTCTCCTTGCTTAGAGGACAGCATAACAAAAAAATGGCTCAACTTACCCCACTCTCCCCTAGTCATATTTCGTGAACCCTTTGAAGAGTACTGTCACCGGTGTGATCATTCTATAATACACAATTTAAGCCCGGGGGAGAAATGCTAACGCTAGCATCGGCGATCTTTTCTACTTCATGCTATCTGCACAAATGGTTGACATTAAACATTAAAAAGACCAGGCAGTTCAGAGAGAATCGAAGGCAGGCATGCAGCTTTGCATGACATTCTTCTGGACGTGTTTCATTGTGGTGATAGTGAGGGTAGTCAATCGTTTTGTTGACAAGACAGTAGTGACGGCCATCTAGGTGACGTGTGTTGTTCTGCGAGGCCAGAGATGTAGTTCATTGAGCATTTCACACAAACTAATGTGTTACTTCACAGTTTTATGACACATTTTTTTCTTTTTGACTTGCAAAATCATCTTTTAAATTGACAAACATCATATGTGTAATTCGTGGCACAATTCAAACGGGATCGAAAATTAACTTTTCTCTCTCCATTGACTTCAATACATAATTTTTTCGAAATAAGGTCCCATGGAGGTCCACCGGAAGGGGAGGGACTTCCCCCCCCTATATATTCAGCAGCAGCAGTGAGTCGCTGCTGCTTCTTCTGCAACGACAGCAGCATTTGGACTTTACTCATATTTACTAGTTCACCTTTTCCTGCAGACTCCGTTAAACACACCGTTCCTCACTCCATCAAACTCTCAATCTGACGAGTGTTGCCGTGTTTCCAGCTAGCATGCTAAGCTAGCTCCTATAGTCCGAGGTAAACGCTCCAGAAAAAAGAGCACAGTCCATTACTTACCCATTCAGAGGTTTATCCAGACACACAGATGATGGATCAGTAGTGCTGGAGCTCACACACACTTTCTCAGGAACACAATTTACATCTCATTGCAGCTGTTTTGAATCTCTATGTAGAAGTCTTCGTTTATGCGGTCAATTTGTTCCTCTTTTTATTTGCTCTGTGTCTCTCTGTAGTTGATTTCTGAACCCTTGTAATCATGTAGTGTTGATTTATAGTAATTTTCTGTCTCGTCGCAGCTCTTAAGATTTCTTTCGCATCTTTTGGGTGTATTTTGTGGTGACTGTGAGTCTCTCTGCACCATGCCCTGCTGCAGGTCGATGCTCCCAGATGTGGTGGATGACTTCACGATGAAGAACCCGTCCTGCAGAGGCCTGGAGCCGCTGTTCTTCTCCTGTTATGCTTTCTGCAGTAAGCTGGCAGGAGGCCTGTCTGTGGGCATCTCCACCCTGATATTACAGTGAGTCTTTTTAGTATTTATTGACTTTGTTTGTACCATACATGCTCACAACACCAAACGAATGACTTTGCAGGCAGTATACAGTAAGCAAAACAAAACAGATGCAGCATATCTTGAATCCAAATTAAAATGTTAACATGAAGGAAAGTAAGTTAAAATTATAAATATTACATAAATTAATAATTAAATTAAATTTTAATGAAATAAAAACCATTTTAGTCTAATAAAAAAAAAAGATTCTACTTAAATACATATTAAAACAATTCAGATTAAATCCATATTAAAAAAAACATATAGTCTTCACATAAAAAAATAATTAAAATAATAATATGAAATTAAAATAAAAAATATATTAAAAAAAACATCCAAAATAATATTTGATCCACCCTCCAATTATTCATATATTAAATGTGTACATTTGTCACATCCCTGTTCCTCCTGGCCTGCAGGTTTGTGGGTTACAGAGCGGGTGCGTGTCATCATGAGGTGGGGGTGGCGACGGCTCTCATCGTGATGTTCTCCCCGGTGCCAGTCGCTCTGCTGCTGATCGGGATGTTCTTCTTCCACTCGTACCCCATCAATGAGAGGAAGTGTCTGCAGGAACAACTGACCCCAGATCAGTAAGTTGATGTTTGAGCAAACGATCCTCCCAGGAGACGGAGCCACAAACCAAAAAAACATTGTGACATCACAAAGAGGCCTAAATCTGATCCTCTCATTTTCAGACAGGGTTTTATAGAAATGGATCAGGACAAAAGGAGAGGGGTCTTTGTTCCTGAGGCTGAGGTGTTACATGTTTATTTAGAAAAGACATGAAGAAGTGGATTTTGCATAATAAGTGACCTTTAAAGTGTGATGTGTAATCCCTGGCAACATGCTCGTGACAAAGGGGGCATCATTACACCTCCAATACTTGGTCCAATACTTGAATGATCAAGCATCAGTTATGTATTTATTTAATGGTGTATAATTTTTGTTTCGTATAAATATAAACATGTTTTTGTCCTATTGCAGCTATATTAATTATTTTTCATCTTTCATCCAGCCCTGAAGCATCATCACCACCAGACCTGAAAGACAACTCAGAGCAGCTGCCATCAACGTCACATTACAACACAAGTTACAATCCAAACTCATCAGCAGGTCCTGATAAACAATCCTCAGTCAAATCCTCCGGACGTTCACATGTATCAACCGAAAACAGCATTTCTAAATCAGTTCTTAAATCAAATGTAAATCCTCAGAGTCAAACTCCACCGCAGAGATCAGGAGACGAGAAACGGAGCAAGAATGTTCCTGAAAAGAATCCCAGAACTTCATCCAGCAGGTCACACATGAGACCTAAAATATCCTGGGTATAGTGAGACACATTGAAGCAGAGATGTTTTAGAAAAGATGCCACTACTCTGGGATCTGAATCTAACACTGAATACTTTATTTTTTAACTCTATTCTTATACATTTTCTATTTTTAAAATCCTCTGCAAAATGTCTGCACCTGTTCTTGCTCAAATAAACAACCGTTGTCAGTTTTCATTCATGGTGCTATTATGCTAATATGCTTTGTTTCACTGATGTTAGGCTGATGTATCTTTGGCTCAGATTGCACAAAAAAATAGTATGATGTTGGATGATACAAAAACTGTGGTTAATGAAATGTAGTTCAATTGTTCAAATTGCATGTTCTCAATACCATGACAGTTTTTTTTCTCTCAGAAAGGAAAAAAAACAAGCAAAAGTGGTCCCTCAGGAATTAAGGTGTACAATTGTTGGGCTTTTTAACTTTTGCACAATTTGATTAATTCTTTGTCAATTTCATATTAAGAAAAGCAATACATACGGTGGACATTTTGAGGAAGCGTCATTTGTGTATGAATTATTTTGCTGTATAATCAAATTATTAATTCCAAATTCTGTTTTTTTGTTTTCAAATTGAAGGCTACATTTGATTTTATCATTATGTTAAGACCTGAATTTTTTGATCATGACAAGTCAACCAATAGAGAAAAGCATCCCATAATGTTTGAACTACAGTGCAGGAAAATAAAATTAGCAGAGTCTCTTCTCGCTGCTCTAGTTCTGAAGTGGGACCAGCCCGATGACGTCATTATAAACAAACATGGCGGACCCTTGTCGGCTTTGCAGCTAGCTCTTATGACATATTTATCTAAAACCGTCCTCTACGTTAACTAGTGTGTACTTTATAACAGATGGAGCCCACGTATCTCTTTAGGACCAGTTGGACTAATGTGTCGCGGCACCAATAGCTGTTTAAAACGGACAACAGGTGATGGAATTTGACGTTTTATCAGAGCTAGTTTAGCTTGTAGGTTACCAAGGCAACGTTAGGAACAACAGTTAGATAGCCGTTTGACTGTTGTTGTTTTATTTACTAAATGTGCTGTTTCTTTAGATTAGAGGATCGATTATTTCAGATATCTTAAATGCCTAATCAAAGTACAAAGTAATAATGTTTGAGCTGGACAGTTTTAATAGTTAAATCAAGCTGTGTGCAGTGACAGCAGAGGAGGGAGTTCAGTACTCAGATCTTGTACTTGAGTCATTACATTTCAAACCTTTATTTAATCAGATTGGTCCCATCGAGATCATAGATCTCTTTTCTCTCAAGGGAGACATGCAGCATATAGGTTCCACATGAAACATAAAACAATAAAGGACATCATACATTATATTTACAGGATACATTTACATAGTTATAGACATTTACAAGTGCCCATAGTATCAACGAGCATTTCATTTAGCCTAGCTTTAAAAACATGCAGAGTAATGAGATTGCTCAGTTTCAATCATTGCTGAAGATTGAGTAAAAGTAGATGTAGGCTACCAGATAGTATGAATACTCTGTGACAAGTAAAAGTAGAAAAGTATTATTATCAAAATATACTTAAAGTACAAGTAAAAGTAGTCATTGTGCAGAATATTTCAGAATAATATATATGATATGTTTTATAATGATTGATCATGAAAGTGTGGAAACCAAAGCTGGTGAAGGTGCAGCTAGTTTGAATGACTTTGTATACTGCAGGGTAGCTTGTGAATTTACTCCAGGTGGAACTAAAGTCTGATTTAACACTTGAATATATTTCACATCATTCATCCACATAAAGTAACTAAAGGTATTAAATACATGTAGTGGAGTAAAACTACACCATTCACCTCTGAACTGTAGTGGAGTAGAAGTACAAAGTATCAGAAAATGTATATACTCGGGTAAAGTACTACTGTCTCTAAATTGTGTTTACAGTACCTGAGTAAATGTACTTATCTACTTTACACCGCTGCGTGACAGGAAGACATGGAGCAGTACAGTATTCTGGGTCGGATCGGAGAAGGAGCTCACGGCATCGTCTTCAAGGCCAAACACATCGAGGTAAACAACTGGTCAACAACACAAACAATTAGTGTTGCTTAAAGCTTTATCACTAAATCAATTGGTTGATTTGATGCAAGACAGAAAACTTTATTTTCCAAAACTATCTTTACTGTACATTTTGGAGTGATTGCCAGACAAAACAAGACATTTAATATGTTCAACTTTGGGAAGATGTAACTGCACACTTTTTAAAAAATCAGAGAAAAGAGGGATTTCATTGTCTTCCATCTGTGTACAGTAGAGAAAAAAGAGAAACAGAAAATGTGTTTTCCTAGCTCTCGTTAAAAATATAAATGTAGCCTGTTTCTTGAAATCAGACACATCTTCATGTTACTCTCCGACCAATTGAATGAACACACAGACTGACCCCCGGTGTCAGAAAATAATACTTACATCCTGAAGGGAAGAGGACCTTTTAACTAAATCTGTGCATATTACTCTCAGTTATTTTCTTTATTGATAGTGAAAGTACAGATTTGTGTGTTGTGTGTCAGACAGGAGAGACGGTGGCCCTAAAGAAAGTGGCTCTGAGGCGGCTGGAGGACGGCATCCCAAACCAGGCTCTGAGGGAGATCAAGGCTCTGCAGGAGATCGAGGACAATGAGCATGTGAGTGTCACAGGACGCCATCTTACCCTCTCATTATCCTAGTGACCTTCACAGTAACATCCTATCATTAACAAACAAAATAAGAGATGGACGATAGCCATAAGACAGCAGTACTCTTTAAATCTCATCACAGTTTTTTTATTAATTTTTATATTGAACATGTCAGAACATTTTTTGTAATAATAATTATAACAAAGAAATATAAAAAAAAGGTGCAAAAAAATTAAAAAAATTAAATTCTCAAATAGTCTCTGTCACTTTTCTGGCCCTCCCCCCTATAACGTACATTTTTCCTGAAAATAAAAGATTAGGTCATCGTCATCAACGTCTAGTTCGTCATGTTGTAAACAAATGCTTTTTAGAAAATAAATAACTTTTACAATGACAAGAAATAACAAGTATGAGTTCACAGGTCCTTCTCATAACCATTAATGATTTGGTTTCTAAATACTAGTTTTAGTTTTGATCTTGATCTGAACTTGTACAATATTTCAGCTCATCATTACTGTTATTCCACATGTCAACACCTTTTGTTGTGATGCACTGAAGTGTTGAATTTGTTCGTATGGGAGGTTTTTCCCACTCTCCTCCTCCTCCTCCTCTTCCTCAGGTGGTGAAGCTGAAGGACGTCTTCCCTCACGGTACAGGCTTCGTCCTGGTGTTTGACTTCATGCTCTCAGACCTGTCCGAGGTCATCAGGAACTCTCAGCGACCTCTGACCCCGGCGCAGGTCAAAGGTTACATGATGATGCTGCTGAAGGGCGTGGCCTTCCTGCATCACAACAACATCATGCACCGGGTGAGAGGAGGGTACGGGGATGGAGGAAAGGAAGATTTATTTTTTCCTTTTGGCCCGAGTTTTGGTTTTTGAAGCCCTTCACGATAAAAACCCAGACAATAGTTCTTACTGACGGCGTGTGTGTGTGTGTGTGTGTGTGTGTGTGTGTGTTGAGCGCAGCGCCGTCTGCTTTTTGCAGTACAGTAACTAAAGTAGGACTAAGCATACCGGTAGTTTCTGTG